TGAGTGGGCGTGAGCTTTTTGCAGTGAGGAGTGCTGCCTGTGAGACATGAAATTAGACACCACTCACTGGGGGGCAGGTTTTGTTTTTAGATTTATTTTATTTATTTATGTGAGATTTTAGATCTGTCTTTTTACATGTTCATCCCTATAATTTTTGTGCTCTGTTTCTTTAGCCTGTTCGCTGTGTTTCTGTATTCTCCACCCTCCAAATTAAGAATTTTGTTTTAAAATAACTTGCTTTTAACTTTTTAAGATATACGTAACCTGACTTCAGAAATGCTGTACTTTGCTTGTAGGTCAATTATAGCTTCTATTTGTGGAGGAGCAAAATGGTGAACAAGCCGTGGAGATTCTCTTCAGTTAGCGTTCTGGTTGTGGATGAAGGAAGTTTGGTATCTGTAGGAATCTTCAAGTCTGTTTTAAATTTATTGTGTGAGCACTCCAAACTTAAAAAGCTTATTATCCTTGGTAAGTTAAAATACTGCTGAAATTCCCGAGCTCAGTTCAAAATACTGTGGTTAGTATAATTTCACTGTACCATTTCTGCCAAAAGGCAGAAAACCCTTGGTCAGAATGCATTCCAAAGCTGCAGTGACCTAAATCTGACCCTTCTGTTGACCAGCTTGGGTGGCTCTTGGTTTGGACAGGATATTAGCAGGCTAGATGTGAATGAAGTGAGGTTCTGAAGGGACCCTGCTGATCACCTAACAATGGCTGTTAAAATGGTAACAGTGTCACAGACACAGACAAAATCAGGATGGAGAGCATACGGAAATAGCAAAAAGTCTGAGTTATAACCACCTAAAAGTTATTTTATTGCACCATTAAGTGTGAAATGTCTGATTTCCTTAAGTAATGAGTTTGACAGTTGATATCGCTGACATTTCACTTTTACATTGTTTTTTATTTTTACTGTGATGGTACATCCTTATTCTATCAATCACACGTTTTGGCTTGTGATTACCTTTCAAAAATTCTTTTAGAGCAATTTTTGTGAAACCATGAATAAGTCAAAAATTCATGTTATTTTTAAATATGATTTTACCCTGAAACCAATTGCAACATAGATAATTCCAAATTTCAACGAAGTGTTTGGGAAGGGCGTGGCTGGTGAATGCGTGGGACTGCCATGTCTGTTCTGCTGATTTTAGTCTTGAAAATGAGCCACATGGGCCACCCAAGGCCAAGGTGGATAATGATGACTGAAGCTGTCGTGGAAGCGAATCCCTCTCAACCTGCCTGTGAATCAGCAGGAGGGTCGAAGCTACTATTCGAGTTACTAGTCCAACAACATCAGACCATTTGAAACAAATCATCAAGGTCAAGAAGCCGGACAGATGGTTCCTCATGGGTTAGAAGCGCCTCAGAAGAGACGTCATCTGGAAGTTTGCCTCTATTTGCTGTTGTGACATAAAGGTGAACCATTTCTATACCGTACTGTTATGTGTGATCAAAAGTGGATTTTTTTTTTTTTTTTGATAACTACAAGTGTTCGGCACAATGGTTAGAGAAAGATGAAGTGTTGAAACCCAGTCCAGAACTGAGTATCCATCACGAACAGCTGGCAGTGTCCGTTTGGTCCAGCGCTGGAATTACCCACTATCGTTTCGTGAAGCCTGGTCAGTTGATTTGGGCAATTTGACTGTGACCAACTTGGGGAGGGTGCTGTGATTGAGCAGCTGAGATGGGTCACTAGAGACAGGCCAGTCCTCGCAAGACAACGCTCACCCCCCGTGTCAGACAAATATGCTGCTCAGACTACAGAGCTGGACTTGGGCCCTGTGTGGTGGCTGAGCCTGTGATCCCAGGACTCTAGGAGGCTGAGGTGGGAGTATCCCTTGAGCTCAGGAGTTGGAGACCAGCCTGAGCAAGAACGAGGCCCCATCTCTACCAAAAACAGAAAAACCAGCCAGGAGTGGTGGTGGGCACCTGTAACCCCAGCTACTCAGGAGGCTGCCCCAGGAGGATCCTTTGAGCCCGGGAATCTGAGGTTGCTGTGAGCAATGTCACCACAGCACCCTACCCAGGGTGACAGAGTGAGACTGTCTCAAAAACCAAAAAAAGCTGGACTTGGAAACTCTCTGTCATCCACGTTATTCTCCAGATCTTGCACCAACTGCTCCCAGGGAAAAATACTGAATTCTCACCACGCTGTGGGAAAGGCCTTCACAATCCTGTCGCCACCTGCTCTCTGGCGTCTCTGCGGCTGATGTGGCAGTGCTGTGATGGTGGTTCAGGTGCTCACTTTCAGCCGTGTGCTGCTCCCTGTTGGAGATGTAAAACTAAACTCTTGATTCAAAATCAGACATTTCATTTAATGACCTTGGAGGATGTTAAGCTAGTAATTCAGATTAGGCCTCACAGGCTCTTACGTCCTTCAATTCTGACGAGGTTCAGTTAGGTCCTGTGGGTGGTGGTGATCAGTAGACGATGTGACTTAATGGGGAAAAAAATGCCAAGTTGAGAATTGCTGTTTGAGAGTTTCTTGGACATTTGAGGTGTTGTATAAGCAGTTGATTTATTAACAGTGTAAACATTTTTTTTCCACCCAGTGTGTATTTTTCTTATTTGTAGGTTTATTTCAAACCATTAAAAAATGTTAATAGAAGAAACATCCTTAGATCACTGAAATTTATGTCACCAGATGCTTTTAGTTTATTTTATGTTTTATACATTTATGCATTTGAGGCCTTAGATTCTTCCATGTTTGGTAAGATTTTGAGCAGAATTTAAAAAGTGACTAAATACTAGACATCTGAGGCCTGTTTATTACTTTACATCTGGACTAAAACATGATGCCCTAACCAGTTTCCTTGTGGTTATAGAGGTGAAAGACGTTCAGCTTAGATTTTTGTCACCTTACTGTGTTATTCCTATTTTTATACCTTACACTATTTAATTTGAATAGTTTTTGTTAAATATTTTAAAAGATTTATATATTTTTTTTTTATTGAATGGTAACTATGTAAGATTTATATTCTTAAAAAATTTTAAACAAAGATTTTTTTTTCTTAGAACAAGTGTTTATAATTTATAGCATACATCAGTGGGGAGAAATAAAATTCTTTCTAAATTCTAAAATCCCGGTTACCTGAAGTCTCCTGCATCTGTTTTTTCCCTCGTAGGTGATATCAGACAGTTACCCAGTATTGAGCCTGGTAACTTGCTGAAAGATCTCTTTGAGACTCTTAAGTCGAGGAATTGTGCTATCGAGCTCAAGACAAACCACAGAGCAGAATCGCAGCTCATCGTGGACAATGCCACGAGGTACCACAGAGCCGTGCTGGTTTCCTTTCTTTGTGTTGAGAATAAAAGGCTAAGAACATTGACTTTGAATTAGAATGATTTTGTGCATACTTACTGTGCCTTGAGCAAACCTCTTCTTCCCTTAAACTGTATGCCGCTTGGCCCATAGTTAGAAAACAAAGTTGAATGTTTTTCCTTACTGACCCAATATAAGTCATAATTGAAATTTAGGAAGGGGTGGCGGGGTCTGTGGCTCAGTGAGTAGGGCGCCGGCCCCATATACCAAGGGTGGTGGGTTCGAACCTGGCCCCCAACAAAATATAGCCAGGTGTTGTGGCGGGTGCCTGTGGTCCCAGCTGCTCGAGAGGCTGAGGCAGGAGAATTGCCTAAGCCCAAGAGTTGGAGGTTGCTGTGAGCCATGATGTCATGGCACTCTACTGAGGGTGACAAAGTCAGACTCTGTCTCAAAAAAAAAGAAATGTAGGAGAGGATGTGTTTCCCTGACTTAAGTAAGGCACTCACTGCCTGAGGTGCAGTTAGTGCAGTGTGAGGCTTAGGGATTGAACAACAGGGAACAGGGACTTGGAAATGAGCTCATTTGCAGTCATGGGAGACTTGGAGAAGGAATCTCCCCTGGCTTGTGTAGGGGAAAGCCCACAAAATGTCACTCTGAGATGAATCCTGGGGGCGCCCAGGGCACCTCATACCACTCATAGAGAAGAGTCCTCTTCCCTTCTTCTCGAGAGCTTTGGACACTCCTCCGTGGGCGAGGCGTTTGGTTTCTCTGTAATCCGTCCATCGGGAAGTTACCACTGTCACCATTTCATGGCAGTTGTTTTAATGCAGGTATGTGCTGCGTAGTCACATTCTGGTCAACAGCAGACCGCGTCTGTGATGGTGGCCTCATAAAATCACAATACCATGACTTGACTGCGCCTTTTCTGCGTTGAGCTGTATTTCGGTAGAAAGCACAGGACAGGCTCCCACTGAGACCAGTGGCTGTGCTACGTGGTCGAGTGCGTGGCAGCTGCAGGGCCCAGGTCTGTGCTAGGAGTCGCCTCACTGTGCATTTCTTAGAGCACAGCCTTGTCGTCAGCATGAAGTGATGTTATTGCACTGAATCTGCAGATGTGGCAGGACCCTGGGTACCAGGAGAGGGTTTAATTGCTGGCTCACATTTCATCTTCGCTTTTCCTCTTTGTTACTGAGTGCTGTCTTTTTTTTTTTGAGACAGACTGTTACTGTGTCTCCCTCAGAGTGCCGTGGTGTCACAGCTCACAGCAACAAACTTTTGGGCTTAAGTGATTCTCTTGCCTCAGCCTCTCTACTAGCTGGGACTACAGGTGCCCTCCACAGCACCTGGCTATTTTTTTTTCTTTTTGTTACAGTTGTTGTCGTTTAGCTGGCCTGTGTCAGGTTCAAACCTGCCAGCCTCTGTGCATGGGGCTGACACCGTAGCCACTGTGCTACGGGCTCTGAGCCACTGAGTGTCGTCCTGCTGCTGGACCCTCTCCCTGGGGGACGTCAGAATCCAGGACCTGCAGTGCCTGCTCTCTGCCCTGTGGACCCTGGTGGGGGAAAGAAGGGGTGACGGACAGAGCAGACAGCCAGGGCTCGCTGAAGGCACGGAGAGAAGTAATGAGCTGGGTCTGTAATATTCTGTCCCTGTTCTCTGCTTCTCTAAAAGCCACCTCATTTTTGACAGATGACAACCATTTCAAAGTCCTGAGTCTTAGAAGCCCTAAAGCCCGTTGGATTCTTAGAACTCAATCCTATCTGAAACTCAGGCATTTCTTTTTTTTCTTTTTTTGAGACAGAGCCTCAAGCTGTCCCCCTGGGTAGAGTGC